TAAATAAAGTAAGGTGTTATATTATGGGATAGAGAGAGTAGATAGTATACAGCCCGCCAAATGTGGGGATAACAAAACCGGGTTGTGGAAAGAAGGCTTTACATATGGGCTACACGCATGATAAACAAAATAAATTAAGAGACGCGCTAGCTAATGCGAGCGGATGCCAAATTGATCGACAATGACACGAAAAATAGTGAGCTTACATTGACTTGATTGAACCAGCAAGAAGATCAACCGCAAAGCGCCCCTGAATCCTGCTAAGCGTCCGAGCTGTATCACCAGCAGGCAGCAGCTACGCTGAAGGAAAAGAGTAGCTAGAGAGTGTTGCGGAGGCATATATGCATGCTTGCCGTTGTGTTCAAGACTCCAAGTCGAAGCTATCTATAACACATGAGCTCCATCGCGCGTCCAACAACAGCCTAAAGAAAGCATAGCTGTGTGCTATGTGTACAAATTGCCGGCATGCATGCATGTTACCTTGTTTGTACTCCCTCCGTTCCTCAATATTTGTCTTTCTAGAAACTTCAAATGAACTACCATATACGGATGTATATAGACATATTTTAGAGTGTGGATTCATTCATTTTGCTCTGTACGTAGTCACTTATTGAAATCTCTAGAAAAACAAATATTTAGGAACGGAGTGAGTACGTACGTGAATGGTTGCATCGATCTTGTGTAGACTCACTCACCGTTAACGTTAGGTAACGGAGACAAGCTAATTTTGGAAGGAGGTGAGTTGCCAAGTAGCTAGGTTGGTGGCTTGTCAATTGGTGGAGTACTATAAATTTGGAACGACGCCCATTATTCCATTAATTATAAGCATGCGAGTAGGTTGGTACGTAGCATGTAGGTTGGTGGAGTCTATATATATAGGTATGTTGTCGGTCTCACGCATGTATGCTGCCTAGCTAGCCACTTGCATATATGCGAGATTGATTTCCATTTGTGGTCATCATAGCGCCGCCATTTGTGTTCATCATAGTGCCGCTACATATATGCATCTCGATGATTTATTTAGTAATCTATATGCTCTTAGGCTGGTTGTAATGGAGAGTATCATATACTAATATCATGCATATGATACTAGTGTATGATATTACCTCCTTAATGCTTAGTATCATATATTAGTATAATGTAGTACTTTATTTATTGTCATGCATGACACATAGTAGCATAGTATTTATTATGATACGGTATTATGATATGATACGGTATCATGATATGATACTCAACTCTTCTTTTTCATTTAATCCTATGACACCTCATCAAAATTGCCTAATTGGCATGCATAACACTAGCTATGATACTACCATTACAACCAGCCTTATATTTATTTATAGACAGCTAGAGAGTGTTGCGCCAGCACGCATGCAATGCAATTGTGTTCAAGACTTGAAGCATATATATATATATAAATACTATAGCTGTCCATGGCGACGAACCAGAGCCACATGTGAGATTGCGCCAGGCCGTGCCGTCACCGAAATGTAGAGCCCGCGTGTGTGCATGCTACCTTGTTTGTACGTACGTGAATGGTTGCATCTTGTGTACACTCACTCACCGTTAGCGTTAGGTAACGGAGACAAGCTAAATTTGGAAGGAGGTGAGTAGCCATGTAGCTAGGTTGGTGGCTTGTCAATTGGTGGAGTACTATAAATTTGGAACCACGGCCATTATTTCATTAATTATAAGCATGCGAGTAGGTTGGTACGTAGCATGTCAGTTCTACAGTAAACGTTTGGAACAAGGGGATAAGTACATACGTATAGGTATGTTGTCAGTCTCAGGCATCTATGTTGGCTAGCTAGCCACTTGCATATATGCATGATTGATTTCCATTTGTGGTCATGATAGTGCCGCCATTCTTGGGCATCATAGTGCCACTCCATATATGCATATCAATGATTTATTTAGTGATCTAGATGCTCTTATATTTCTTTACAAAGGGAGTAGTAGGGAGGCTAGGAGACGAGCCCATCGATGTCTGGACAAAATTCCATTGTTGAGTCTCTGCACATCGGAGCTAATTAAACTGATTATACATCAGTTACCAAAAATACATTAGTAAATGTCAGTCCACTGACTTTGAAATTTGAGGTCAGTCGATTTTGAGAGTTCGCCGGAGTGAAGGAAGGAGGAGGAAGAGGCTCGCGAGAGAAAAAAACCGAACGTGGGCAAGGCTAGAGGGATGACTAGGGGCGGCGTCAAGACCGGTGGTGGGGAACGGTTTCGGGG